TTTTACTCTGGAGAAATTAATCCTAAGCTAACCTCCTTTAAAGACAGAAGCTAACCAGGCAGATTCACAAGCCGAGAAAGCTACAAGAGCCTAAGTGCGTGCAAAGGCAGGGCTTAAAACACTGCTGTGGCTTCCCAAGTCAGCGAGGATAAGAGCTGACATGAAACGCATGGTCTGCCTGCTCCATCTTCCCCACACTCTGCTGCTTCCCATTCTTCTACCAAGCCATTTCCCTCACCTCCCCAAATGGGCCATTGGCCCTTGCATCTTTAACTCACTGTCCTCTCTATGCCCCTACTTGCAGCACCCTTCCCCCTCTTCACTAGTCCTCTTTAAGACTCCAATATAAAGCTGCCTTTCCAGGAAATTCATGCTGACTTCCCCGACGTTCACCCTCTAGGGTATATTAAGTCTGCCCAAAGCTGCAGACATTGTAAGGTTGAAAAGTGGGAGGAAGTCACAGATTATTAAGGCAAATTGATCCAGTAGTTTAGTTCAGCTCATATGGAAATATGCAATGACATTAGTTGAGATACTAATCCTTAAAAGGATTTCAGACCACAGAGAGATTTTCCCATAGGATCAGAGTCTAGCCTATACTTAGCAGCCTCACAATAGGGGAGTGGCTGAAAGAAAATCAACGTCTCAAATGTCGGGGTAGGAGACACACAGGCAAATATTACAGTTATACATAATCAAGTGGCCCCTGCTGAGTGCAACACATATACCAACACGCGGCAGAAGCTCCTTAACAATCCCCTTGAACGGTCACCGCCTCATCTTCATCCCCTGCTTTTATGACAGGTCAGAGAAAACAACCAGGAGACTGCATGGTAAAGTTGCGAAGATTATCACGATTAAGAAGCCATTTTTCATTTTGTTCTGGGGTACAGAGATCTCACTGCAGGAAAATAGAGCCTGTGAGATTTGGTGTGAATTCACACACACGCACATGCTCACCGAATACAAATGCCTGAGAGAAGAGCCATGGGCATAAGCTCGTCGCGCAGACAGATTATTCGCACATTCAATTAGGTGAGAGGAGGGAGCTGAAAATCCAATCACCTCATCTCAGGTATCCTAAGTTGTTATTTCTTCCCAAACCATTTTCAGTGACAGGAGCACCCTGACCACATGCCACCTAATACTTCCGCCATGTGTGCCTCCGGTGACCATGCAGTTTGCATCTGCAGTTCACAGCTCAGATTCAAAGCTGGAATCTTTTTCACAGCGCATCCTTCTTCCCTTCAAGAACAGAATATGTATTAAGTTGATATATTTTCTCAGGGAAAAAAAATTAAGCTAACCTCCTTTAAAGACAGAAGCTAACCAGGCAGATTCACAAGCCGAGAAAGCTACAAGAGCCTAAGTGCGTGCAAAGGCAGGGCTTAAAACACTGCTGTGGCTTCCCAAGTCAGCGAGGATAAGAGCTGACATGAAACGCATGGTCTGCCTGCTCCATCTTCCCCACACTCTGCTGCTTCCCATTCTTCTACCAAGCCATTTCCCTCACCTCCCCAAATGGGCCATTGGCCCTTGCATCTTTAACTCACTGTCCTCTCTATGCCCCTACTTGCAGCACCCTTCCCCCTCTTCACTAGTCCTCTTTAAGACTCCAATATAAAGCTGCCTTTCCAGGAAATTCATGCTGACTTCCCCGACGTTCACCCTCTAGGGTATATTAAGTCTGCCCAAAGCTGCAGACATTGTAAGGTTGAAAAGTGGGAGGAAGTCACAGATTATTAAGGCAAATTGATCCAGTAGTTTAGTTCAGCTCATATGGAAATATGCAATGACATTAGTTGAGATGCTAATCCTTAAAAGGATTTCAGACCACAGAGAGATTTTCCCATAGGATCAGAGTCTAGCCTATACTTAGCAGCCTCACAATAGGGGAGTGGCTGAAAGAAAATCAACGTCTCAAATGTCGGGGTAGGAGACACACAGGCAAATATTACAGTTATACATAATCAAGTGGCCCCTGCTGAGTGCAACACATATACCAACACGCGGCAGAAGCTCCTTAACAATCCCCTTGAACGGTCACCGCCTCATCTTCATCCCCTGCTTTTATGACAGGTCAGAGAAAACAACCAGGAGACTGCATGGTAAAGTTGCGAAGATTATCACGATTAAGAAGCCATTTTTCATTTTGTTCTGGGGTACAGAGATCTCACTGCAGGAAAATAGAGCCTGTGAGATTTGGTGTGAATTCACACACACGCACATGCTCACCGAATACAAATGCCTGAGAGAAGAGCCATGGGCATAAGCTCGTCGCGCAGACAGATTATTCGCACATTCAATTAGGTGAGAGGAGGGAGCTGAAAATCCAATCACCTCATCTCAGGTATCCTAAGTTGTTATTTCTTCCCAAACCATTTTCAGTGACAGGAGCACCCTGACCACATGCCACCTAATACTTCCGCCATGTGTGCCTCCGGTGACCATGCAGTTTGCATCTGCAGTTCACAGCTCAGATTCAAAGCTGGAATCTTTTTCACAGCGCATCCTTCTTCCCTTCAAGAACAGAATATGTATTAAGTTGATATATTTTCTCAGGGAAAAAAAATATTTGGCTGAGAGTGAGTTCTATTTTCATTGTTTCAGTAATTTTCAGTTGGGATTTTTTTTTTAAACACTTGTTTTGCAGTGGGCTTGCCTATCATTCTCATTGGTTTGTAACTGTGTCAAAGTGAGACCAAAGCAACTGAGCAATAAACAAGGAGATCACAGTATTTTTTTTAAAGTCTCGGTGAATCCAGCAACTGGTCCATATACTATTGGCCGTGAACCTGAATGGAAGCCTAGCTCATATGCAAAGGAGTTTCTTCAGCTCCTACTTCCCAAGGCTACCTGCTTTCCATCTTAGCACTCCCCCGCCCCCACCTTCTTAAATGGCAATAAGAACTGACACCCTACCTTTTACAGCCAAGACAAAAGTTAACAGAGGCTTTACCACTTTACCAGCAGACTTGAGAGCCAGTGGAAACCGCAGCTCTCGTAGGGCCAAGTCACTCACTTTCCAGACTCAATACTGATGAAATGAAAAGTATATCCCGAGTACACAATCCAAGGCCTGATACAGACAAATCAAAAACTATATTAACTGATTAAAAGCATAAATAAATAAATGTAATTTGCAAAATAAATTAGCACAGTGTATCAAGGAAATTTACTGCTGAGAATTTATTAGAGTCATCCTACTTTGCTATCACCAAAATATCCCTCCCCCAAATGTAAGAATATTTCAATATTTGAAAAATCTATCAATTCAATATACCATAGACCAAAAATCATATGATCATGTCAATAGATACAGAAACATATCTTATCCCACTAGAAACACAAAGGAACTTCATTAAATTGACTATATATATGTGTGTGTTATATATATGTGTGTATATATATATATATATATATATATATATAGCTAGAAACTTATAGCAAGCTTTAAAATTAATGGGAAAATTGCAAACATTGCCTTTAGACTAGAAACAAGACAGGAACTCCCATTATTACTGTCACTATTTAGCATAATACTTTGAGAAATGATATATAAGTAAAATGTGTAAGGATAAAGAAGCAAAGTATTATTATTTGCAGGCAACATATTCCTTGCCAATAAAATGCAATAAAATCAACACATAAGCTATTAGAATCACTAAGATTGTTCAGAAAATTTGCTAAGTGCAAAACTGCTTACAAATTAATAAATTTGTCAACACCAGCAATAAACAACCAGAAAATATATCTTTAAGGAAAAGACACGGTAACTGAAAAAATTATAAAACATCTGGAAATCTACTCAGGAATATACAAAATTTCTATGAATAATGTTTTTAAAGTCTAACAAAGAATATAAAAGAATATCTGAATAAGCAGAGAGAACTTCCCTGCTCTCTAGACTTCTAGTCAAGGATACAGAGATGTCTGATAGGGAGCTGCTAGTAGGAACATAAAACGGAGCCGTCAAATTAGTTATGGTATATCCAGCAACACAGTGATGCTGTTTCTGGGCATATGTTCCAGAGCCACACAAGTCCACAAGAAGGCAGGAGTAAGAATGTTCATCACAGTATTGTTTGGAACATGGATAATTATCAGCAACTTAGTTGTCCACTCGTGAGGGAATGGAGATGCATCATTTGATAGCTTGGAATCCTCTGCAGCTCCTGGTGGCAAGAGACTGGACGCACATGTGACAATGTGAATAGAGTCTTAAATCAGAAGACTGAGTGGAAAAAGAAATAAATAAGGTCCGTAGCACAATATGTAGGTATATGCAATGCATTAGCATAACTGCCTGTGAAGAAACAAGGGTGATGGCTGGCATGAAAGCAAGAAATGGGGATAAAGAAAAAATGAATTAATTAATTAAAAGAAAATCTTTATACACACTCATGTTGACAAATATGCCAAGAATAGAGGAGCATTTACAAGTTTATAACTAAATTTATTACATATTTTTATTGGTTCTCTATATATAATATATATGCTAGGGTATGGTATTTTAACTAACAACAGGACAATACTTTAAATCCTACCTGATCTTCTTCCAAAGAAAATAGAAGAGTTATACTAGAAATTTTTTGACTTCATTTCCTTCTGTACTTTTGAGAAAACTTTTCGTAATCAGACACTTCACAAGAAACACTGATAGCCATTTAAAAATGTTTAGTTATACTTCACTCCAAAAAGGATGTTATGACTACAAAAGGAATTGTAGCTATAAAGGAAAGAGGAAAAGAATAAGACAAGAAGAGAGGGAAGAGAAAGAGAGGACACACCATAAGAATGTGAGAATTAAAGCCAAAAGCAATCATCATATTTCCTAAGCAAATTAAAGTGCAAAATGAAACGCACAGCTTAGCAGGAAATACAGTTTCCTGAATTTGCTATGTTACTGCCTCGATCTCGTAAGTCCTTGTGTGACAAGGGTTTAAAAGTCCTCTTATCTGATTCACCGCCTCGGCTTGTCTTCATTTTTTTCCCTGCAGTAACGCCAAAAGAGCAGGAGAGGCTGAAAGCGGGGCGACGTTTGCAGCCTGGCCGCCTGGCGGTCCATCCGCGTTGCTCTACTCCCATCTGCTGATAAGAGGCTGCTACTTCGCCAGGAGCTCCTTGCCCGCCCTCACCACGACCAAGGCAACCCAAGTCTGAGAACCCACTGCAGTCGTAAGTCACTCCACCGTGGAGATCTTCAGGGCACTGGTGTGTGTGTGTGTGTGTGTACATTCTGAGAATATCTAACAGCATCCTGGTTTATTGACAGGTGAGTTACTGTTTTCCTATTATTTTTCTTTGACAATAAAAAGTCAGCACAATTATCTCTTGAAGCTCTTTCCTCTTTTTGAAAAGGTATATCAGTTCAATTAGGAAAAAAAAAATCACACATTTTGTGGTAGTTTTTTTCAAAGCATATCATTACTCTACCTGTGCTGCTGTACACCCAGGATTTTATTTTGGTTTGATTTAGGGGGTTTTTGAGTTACAAAGGATCATTTTCCCACTGACTTAAGGAGTGAGGCGGCTATGGTGGTAAATGAGACGCTCAAGAAGTGGTCAGGATCTCTCATGGATAGGGTCCCCAGTGGAGAGCAGGGGCATGCATTTAAGTTTTTTTTTTTTTTTTTTTTTTTTTAAGTTGTTCTTGAGTACTGCAAAGATTTGGGTGGAATTCTGTTAGGACAAAAACATTGAGAGGAATTGTAACCCCACTAAATCACTCCCATGAGCCTGTGTTCAATTCAATATCAGCAATTTAAGAAAGTAAAGCAATTTTTTTCAGGGTTACCTTTTCCATCATGGGCAACTGCCCCTGCCCCACAGACCAAAAGAGAAGACAATTCACCTTTAAGTTTGGTCTACAAGATTAGTTCGTCCAAAAGAAATTAAATGTCAATTTTATCTTGATTCATCACAGCTCTTTAATCAAAGTCGATGCATCACCTCCCCTGATTACCCCTCTATCAAAGGCTGACCTGGAAATCTGACACCAAGCTTCCCTGTGCAGGCTGCCTAATTAAGAACTTGGTTGTTCCACCTACAGCCTTGGAGAGAAGGGGATGGCAGAGCTGCCCCAAAGAGGTGGCCTCTTTATGGAGAAGGGTCTTGGAAAGAGGTCAGTGGTAATTACCAAGCAGCAGAACAGTCCATGTACACGTTGGACATTATTGGTCCATAAAACGTCTGGAGATTTATAGCAGAAAACAGAAGCCGTGTGTGTTGAATGTCAAACTGAACTAAATTAGCCCAGCATGGTGAACTAGAGAACAGGAGTCCCCGTTGGGACCATAGGGAAGAGCCCAGGAAAAGAGCTTGGACCTCGGAGGATGGGTACAAATCTTCAAACCTCCCATCCTCCAGCTGTCTGACATTCAAATAGCAGGGGGCTTCCGTCCTATACTAGCTGAACTTCACAATTCAATTGCAGGAATCTGTGAAAAAGAAAGAGAATTGAAAGGTAAAAACCCTTTTAATGATAGATTTAATGAAAAACCCACTGTTTCGTTCAGTAAGTCCCAGAGAAACAGGGACACAGACCAGGGGATTCTGCCATGCTCAGCTGAGATCTCAGGCTTCTCTTCCATCCAGGAGATTCCTGTGATACAATTCACTTTTTTCATACATCACACGCTGATAATTGCAAGTCCACTGCTTTATCTGATGTTTGGTTGAAGAAATAATGGTTTGATTCAAGGCGGGATGGAGGACATGTTGTGTTGGATTTATGGGCGGTCTAATATATTGATCTCCATTGTAGCCATCCATGGCAGGAAATTCAGGATGACTCAACTGTACGTAGTTTTCACTCTCCGTGCTGACTTCAAGACTCAGTTCCACCTAAGCTTCTTCTCTGCTACATTCAATTTTCTCTCCATAAAATATAGAAATAGCAGAAGTAGCTTTTGGTCGGGAGGGTTAAAGGAGACTTGAGCAATGCCTGGCAAAAACTAGGTGCCCTTTGCCCCTTTCCATGGAGAATTGGGAGACCTGGATACAGATACAGATGAGGGCTGTCACATGGTCATCAACTCCTACTTCTTGGGTCATGTTTTCTTCTTCTGAGAAACCAGCCAATTGCATATGCCAAGCTTGACAGCCCCTTCCAGCCTTGCTCATGGTTAACCTGAGGTTTGTCACTTATGATGCCGTTTTTCAGACCAGATGTGTATGATTCTTTGTTGAAGTGGAGATATAAACAATATCTATATCAGACTTAACCTTGCACAGTTTCAACAAAAATTTTGCAGACAGCCATCGGAAAAGGCACACATTATAGAGTACACATTTGTTGACAGTGTATTGCGTGTCAGGCGTGGGGCCTTTTTTCAACTCTCATACCATCCCTTAAATAAGATACTGGTTTTATCTCTGATTATAAGGGTGAGGAAAGAGAGTCAGGGAGCCTTTAAGAAATGAGCCCCTAGGCCCTCAGCTTAGGGAGTGTTGGACCTGGAATTAAACTTCCTCTTTTATAAGAGGAAATATAAACTTCCTCTGTATAAGAATTGGGGGCTTCCCAGGTGGTGCTAGTGGTAAAGAACCCACCTGCCAATGCAAGAGACAGAAGAGATGTCAGTTCGATCCCTGGGTGGGGAAAATCCCCTGGAGAAGGGCATGGTAACCCACTCCAGTATTCTTGCTTGGAGAATCCCATGGGTAGGGGAGCCTGGCGGGCTATAGTTCATAGGGTCACAAAGAGTTGGACATGACTGAAGTGACTTAGCATGCATGCATGATAAGAATTTTCTCTTGATTAAAGTATTCAGTGAACGCCTCTTTCCATTTCTTATTCACAGTCCAAGGAGAGTTGGATGCTTTGGTCCCACCTGTACCATTAAGAATGAATTAAAAGGATTTCTTGTTCCATATGGTAGATAGAGCACACTCATGTACATTCACTTCCACAAAATCTTCCATTGAAAGTACAGAACCGAGGTAGGAAACAGGAAATAAATCCAGGACTGTTTTAAGACACTAAGGGTTGAATGGTAAGGCAATCAGCAAAACATAAACTTTATTCTAAGACACAGAAAGTAGGCTGGTTAAAATTAGATATTGATTGTGTGTGTGTGTGTGTGTGTGTGTAGCAGAAGGTGCCATCTGCCATAATAAGTGCAAAAGCCAACTGGAGGAGAGGTTAGAGCCAGTCTTCCTGGGATGAAGAAACTTAGGGAACAAGAGGAAAAGGGGGCATGGGAGAATGGGTCTGGGGGATCGGCGCCCTCCCTTCAGCACTGTGACTTTGTGGGTCTGTTTCCAGGCCACTGGAAGCAATGTTTGTTACCTGCAGAATGAACCCAGGGACTTCTCTAAAGCAAATGAAGGCTTGGCCAGGAGAACAAGCGGGCTTCTCAGGTGGGTGATGCGTCTCCACGTTGAAGCCCCATGTTGTCGCATGGAGGATGCACAGAGAAGGTGACGTCAGCCTGTCTGTCAACCTGCCTACCCTCGGGAAGTTAGGTTGTAGTCACACTGGCCCATGCATAGAGACAAAAGTGATCAACAACCTAGGAAAGCCAAGCCAGCAGATGCACTTACCAACACACCTTTGCATTCACAAATATGAGCCAAGAGTCAGTAGATACTTGAAGGGGGGGAAAAAAGTAGCATGAATGAGAAAAACCAATATGAGGAAATATAACTTTCAACCTCAGGGCAAAGAAGTCAGGGAATAGAAAAGAGCTGTTAGAATCCCAGGGAAAAGTCCCATTATGAAATCCAAAAACCAAAAGTAGGAACACTAAGTGAGTTTTTGGAAATTAAAAATATCCTGAACTTTAAACAAGAAAAAAAAAAAGGACTGAAATATAAAGTCAAAGAAATCTCTATGAAATTGTTTAAAAAGAAAAAGAAGAAATATTAAGACAGGAAAAAACAACACAGATAAATCCATGAAGTTCAATAGATACAGTTTTTTAATGGAGAAGAGAAAATTAATCAAAACAATTAAAAATTACCAAAGAAATAGGATTATGATTGAAAGATCCCATTGAATGTTAAGCAGTGAATTAAGGATTGTAAACAAATCATGGAATGCCAGGATAAAAAAATGCCTTAAAAACTACTAGAGAAATGGAAAAATAGTTTACTTTCAAAGGAATAAGAATCAGATTGGCATCAGAGTTACCATCGGAAAAATTAACTGATAGGAGATAATGAAGAGATGCTTTAAGAGTTATAAAAAGAAGTTATTTCAAATCTTTTCATTTATTTTTATTAGTTGGAGGCTAATTACTTTACATCATTGCAGTGGTTTTTGTCATACATTGAAATGAATTAGCCATGGATTTACATGTATTCCCCATCCCGGTCCCCCCTCCCACCTCCCTCTCCACCCCATCCCTCTGGGTCTTNGTAAGAAGAGAGAACGAGAAACTCCACTAAACTAAAAATGATGCATGAAAGGAAGTGGTCAAATACAAAGTATTTTGCAAGCACTCACGATAGATAAGCAAAAGTCATGTACAGCGACTCATACATAAAACCACTACCTAGAGCCACAAATTCAAGTGTAATTCTGCTGGCATTTTTGTCTGCTCACCAGCCCTTGCTGTCATGCTAAAGTCCTGCCAGGTAATGATCAATATGGTATTTTGTCCCCAAATGAAAGGTGAAAGATGCTTAGAGGCATTGCAAAACTCAGGCCCGTAGACATTCCTGGCACCACCAAGAATGTAAACTAATTATTATCTTATAGCTAAGGTCTTTTCATTTACTAAGTGTATAAATTTGGGTTTAAAGTAGGCTATTTGGAAAACACTAAAATGCTCATTTCTCACTTCCTGTAAATTTTGTTAGGCAACAGCTGAACTTACAGTTAATTATTATTTTTATCATTATGTTGTGGCAAGTTTTATTTATGCAAAGTCATTTTAAAATTATTATATTGATAAGTATTATTTTGAAAGGGCCTAGGGATGCAGCAAGGTGGAACTTCTGACCCCGGGACAAACAGTCCTCAGCCCCACAGCCAGTAAAGCTGTAGACTATGGTTGTAAAAAGGCAATAGATGTGTCTCAACTTTAGCAGCAAGAACAGACTAGGTGCAAGATGGAAACCTTGCTGTCTCCATCATTCCAGTAGCTTCATATGTTTCTTTTTCAAGTGGGATTTGGTACCTGAGCCTCTGCTCCGTGCCACGCTGGATTTCCAATCTATGGCCATCTCCTGCCCTGACCCCCTCCATCTCTCCAGATGTCTCTTCACTTCCACAGCACTTTCCTTCTCCTTGCACATTCGCATCTCTCCCCTTGGATGGTCAAAAGTATATGATCAAGAGTTATATTTTCAGCTTTTTATTCTTTGAGTAGTTTTTGTTTCTTTGTCTGGGGCTTGTGGGGTCTTAGTTCCCTGGCCAGGGATTGAACCTGGTCCCTCGGCAGTGAAAGCAGAGAGTCTCAACCACTGGACCATCAGAGAATTCCCAATTCTTTGAACAGTTTTATACCCACAACTATGACTTTTAATTTTATTCTCAAAAATAGATAAATGAATAAGTGAATGAGCGAAACAAGCCTCAAGGCTGAGCTGCCTGCTTTCAATGGATTTTTTTAAAATTTAGAATAACTTCAGATTCATATAAAAATTGCAAAGTGTAGAGTCTGTATATACCCTCACCCAGTTTCTCCTTTTGCTAGTATCTTCCATGAGTGTGGCACAGTTCACACACATTTGTCACAGTTCATGAACCAATATTGGTGCAGTATTAACCAAATTCTTTCCAATTGCCTTACTTTTTACCTAATGCCCATTTTCTGATCCAGAATCTTACCCAGGCTTCTATGTTATATTTAGTCGTTATGTTTCTTTAAGCTTCTCTTACCTGGGAGAGTTTCTCAGACGCTCCTTGTTTTTGACGACCTTGTTAGTTTTGAGAAATACTGGCCAGGTATTTTTAAAAATATGCCCAAATTGTGATGTCTGCTGTTTTCCTCATGATTAGAGAACAGTTACGTGTTCTGGAAGGAAAATCACAGCGGGAAAGTGCCATTCTCACATCACATCGTATCAAGGATATGTACTATCAACATGATTTGTCATTGCTCATCTTGACCTTGATGTTGACCTTGAGGTCATGTGGGTCAGGTTTCTACACTGTAAGTTATTTTTGTCCCTTTTCATACTGTGTTATTTCGAGGAAAGCCCCTCTGTGCCACATGAGCTATCTTTTAATTTGGCTTTTGGTTCATTTGATTTTCTTGTCAATCAGTAGGTATCAGTACAAATTTCCCCTTACAGGATTAAATAACACAGTGATCAAATTAATAGGATTGTAAAGACACCCCACAACTATATACTGTGGGCAATGTTGGACAACTGGAGGAAAAATATAACTCAAGGAAAAAGGTAACTTTAACTCATCCTCAATCACCAATAATAACTATTCATTAACCCTCTGAGTCAATTTGTAGTTTTCACCTCCCAAACATCCTCAGAGGACAATCCAAGTCTGATGAAGGCTGCACCTTCCCTGAAGAGCAGCTGCCGTGGCTGGAAGAGTTTGGACCAATCAGCCTCTGTTCTGTGACACTTCCCACCTTCTGGGGCAGCCAAGGCCAGTCCTGGGCATGAAAAGCACCAGACGGAGCCTCCTAGCTTCACACTCAAACAGCCCACGCTGAGCACATTGGTTTAATAGACGGCAATAAATCAGGTAAGTGTATATATCTCAGGATTTTGTAAGCATCAATTCAAGCAATATAATTTGCTTCACAAAGATGAACATCTGTATTAAAGAAAGCACCAAAACAGCACTAACCAAGAAAGTATCATGAGACTTCTGGTGTTGCTGAAGCATCTCAGGTCCTCGATCATCACCAGTTCAGCATATAGGACATTGTATGTGCTGAACAACATGGAAGCAATCTCTTTTGTAAGCCTCATAATTGCTCTAAGAATTTACTATCATCATCATTACTGTTATCATCATCATACCCATTTTGTTGATGAGCACAATAATGCTTACAGAGGCCAGAGGTCACAATGCTAGATCTTGAGTCTAGGTTTGACTCCACATTTCATACTTTGAGATTAATTTCTAATTAAACAATTAATTTAACATTTTTGCTCATCCAGAGTGTACATGGAAGTGAATGAAGATAAGCAACCATTCTAGTTGGGGATTTCCACAGTTTTAATGATCCCCATATTATTGCCATCTCATACCCAGACCAGTTGGACTTAATCTGGCTTTTAGAAGTATTCAAATTCTATAAAGCTACATAATGTCAAAAAGATGATGCAACAATTTTTTTTTGCATTGCTACCAGCTGTTTGGGCTCAGAATGTAGCCAGCTTTCAGTTCCAAGTGTTTAGCTGTTAATTCTGACGTCCAAGGCACCATATCGGTAACAGAAGCAGAATTAATAAGGCCTAAAGAAAGGCTCATGACATGGGAAAATTATAAACTTGGAAATAGTAGCCCTACCTGCTAGACGGATGGCCTGATGGAGCCACAGAAAACGAGGTCATCCAAAACCCCAGACCCCACACAGCCTTGACTTCAGGGCAGCCCCACCACCCTGCTGGGTCTGTGGGCCCGAAGAGGGATAAGGTCAGTCTGGGGTGTGCTGGAGGAGATTCACAGTGCCTGCGTCTCCTCTCAACTCTAAAGCTGCTGACGTTGAAGCCAGCCACGGGGATAACGCTCACACCGCAGAAATCAGCAAATGCTGCAAATCAGGGCCCCTGCCACCTCCATGCCACAGGAAGCTCACTGTGAATACTCACCACCCTGCACCCTGGCAGGTTCTAAAGTGGCCTCCTGATGTCCAAATTTGCCATGCCTCATCTCAGGTTCACCTTGAGATACTGGTTTCCTGGACGTTTTGTTCAAGTGTGCCGTGCACTTAGCACAGGCCTTGCCGTGTGCTGGACACTGTTCCACTAAACAGCAGTCATATTGGTCAGAACCACCAGAGAAAGCTCTGTTACCTCCCATGCACGTTACCCACATCTCCCTGGAGTGAAGGCCACACGCTGAGATTTGCACGGGCTTCAGCACAGCCCGCCAGTTGATCTGAGGCAACCTAGCAATAGTATCTGACGAAATGCTTCTCAGACACATTTTTAAGCTACTGCCAAGGGGACGCACTGTACTGTGGGGGATTCAAGGATAAATCGGTTGATGACACACCCTTGGAGGAGTTCTTATTCTACAATGGGAAATGCAACCTGAATATCCTCACCTATTATGCAGAATTAAAGGTGACAAGCTTTCACAGGGAAACACTGATATGAGGGCTCTGAGTGCTGAGAGTGAGACATTATCCTTCCACGTGGTCGGAGAGAGAAGTCAAGGAAGGCTTGCGCCTGAAGTTCCAGGCAAATTCCTACCAGAAGTGGAAGGTGTCCTTTCCTAGGGCCTTTTCCAAAAAGAAAAAGAAAAAAAAAAAAGATGAGGGGAGGGGAAGCAAATAGAAAACAGAGGAACAAATGAGAGACATTTGTCCTTGTCTCTGATAGTAAGAATATCAACCCAGAATGTGACAGTTTCAACATCAAACATACTCAATTTTTATGGCCTCAGTTTCATACAAGAACATTCCAAAATGACAGTAATATTTTATGAAGGGCACTGACAAGCAACTTGTTTCTGAATTTCATTTAGCATATTGAGCTTCAGCCATGAGAACTGCCCTCCAAGGTGACCCAAGGGGAAGGGAGAAGAGGGACCATATGTTGAGGACCTACTAAGCGCTAGAGACCTTGATGGATGCTTTGAAGATGTCATCCACTCATTCATTCCAAAAAGCAAGGGCGGACACAATGGCTTTCAAACATAGTGCCCAGGTACT